CGCGCCGATAGCTTTCTCATGCCCAAAATTTCATGCAGGACATGACCCACGCGGTCTTTTGAGATGCTTACGATCTTAGCTATCTCGCGCACTTTCAATCGTCGATCTGCCAATACGAGATCGTGAATTTTTGTCACATTATCCTCCGTGGTAGCCGTTTTCGGAGCACCTGGACGTGGCTCTTCAAAAATCGACATGCGACCACGTTGAAACTCGTTAAACCAATTTTTGACGGTCGCCATCGAAGGAGACGAGTCACCGTATACAGCATCCAAGCGCTTTTTGATTTCGCTGCACGATTTCCCTTCCAAAAACAAGAATCGAATCACCGACCGATACTGCTCTTTTTCCATTTTTCAAAAATCAACGGACACACTTGCTTTCACACGCTTTCAAAAATAAACTACTACTCCGATCCGGCTGAAATTTTAACAGTAACCATCGAGAAGGTTGTACTACGTGATAGAATATTTCTTTTGTGAGATTGGCGCCATCGGGTGGTGAGGCTAAGTACTTATCGGACCACCCTCGTACTTTCTTCTGGTTTGAAGAGTAGCGGCAAAATGGACGAGAAACGGCTTTTCACGGTCAAAGATCACTTTTGCTCTCCTATTTTCGAGAAGAAATCCTATTATTGGCCGATATGCTAATTCAGTTATCGGTAGCGCCCTCCGAATATTTCATCATTGGTCAATATGTAAATTAGAAAGGTACAGCGCCCTCATTTTATCTCCTACTTTCGTCGCTATTTACCCTCTCTTATCCCCACTAAATCTGCTAGCATTGATTGATGAGAAACATCTACTCCTATTCTTATCTATTTTTCGATGCGGACGGAAATTAAATTTTATTCTAATTCGCTTATTGGTCGTGACATCACCAGCGAGTTTCGTCAGAGGTTCGAATTTCGTCAATAAATTTGTCAATTTAATTCGTCAGATTGTTTGTCGTTTATTATTATATGTAAGGGATTGTAGCGGTCGCATACAAATATTTCTAATTATATATTTTAATGTTTCATATCTAAGTTACATCGTTAAATTATTTGCAAGTGATAAAATAATTAATGTCGGTTTTATGCTCGTAGCGCCCTCATCATCGCATTTACATTTAAATCTATAATACTTATTAGTTCGCTCGCTTCATATGGTCTGTCTCGCTCGCTTCATATGTTCTGTCTCGCTCGCTCTCGCTTAGTCTGTCTCGTTCGCTCTCGCTTAGTCTGTCTCGCTTGCTCTCGCTTAGTTTGTCTCGCTCGCTCCAGCTTAGTCTGTCTCGCTCGCTCTCACTTAGTCTATCTTGCTCGCTCGTGTTTAGGCTAACTCGGCGCTTCAAAATGGCCGCCCGCTCTCTCCCGCGTGCGCCTTGTCTCTCGGTACCGGTCTTTGGAGCGCCTCCTGGAGCGCTCCCTTTTCGGCGTTCAGGATGTCGCCGATGATGCGCAGCTGCGTCACACAGCTGATTGCCGGCTGCCGCTTTATCGACGATTTTCTGTTCGCCCCAGGTGTGCCAGCGTTCTCCAAGTGTCAGTGTAAGTGTCTTGGTGTAACAGGCCTGTATATATCATCAACATGCATTTCCGCTGAATTTCCCAGTCAAGTTTTCCGCGGTTTCTCTCCAGTCGGCAACACGTGATCGTGAGTGTGTGTGCGTGCGCTCTCTTTTTCTCATAATGCGCTCCATTTTTCGATTATCCGTCGAATCGTGGTCTTGTTATTTCGTTTTCTCCAGTTTAGGTTGACTATATGAAAAATAATTAGTGTTCAAATTAGGGTGCGCGTAAGCGCGTAAGCCTTGTAATGTACCGCATTACAATGGAATTAACGCTAAATTGGAGATATTTGTTGCTATTATAAATAAATATATTTTACGTATGAAAGATTAATTCATTACTCATTTATCAAAATAATCTTGCTAAGTATCCATATAGAAATTTTTTTGTCGAACATAAAAAAACACCGAGATATCTACAATAGACATTCTTCAAAGTAATAAAATTCAAAAAATTAGATTGTTATCGATGCTCTTTTAATTAAAAAGTAATTATTATCTTTTAAAAATATGAATTTAACGAAATAATTTATAGCTAATCAACTAAGCAATGAATTTCCAAATTCCAAATGCTAACTGATACATATATACATGTAATATAGTAGATATTGTAAATTCAGAAAACACATAGAAAGTCGAAAATAGGCTAAAAAATAAAAAAAGTATAAAAAAAATAAATAACGTTACGTTAATTTGGCCTGAACCCATGACTCTTGCCATTTTCGCATAATACCATGCGTATACGGGAAATTTACTGTTTCTAAACTACTAAAAAACTTGAATTTAAGCAATTATATCTCTATGAAAAAATTTCAGCTCTGAAAATTGAACTTGAAAGGAGAAAGTTATTCTTAATGGTAATTCTCTTGGTTTATAGAAAAAATTTCATGATGTTATAAAACTTTAAATACACCAACAAATCACCTTTTTCACCTCTTCAATTCAGATATCTGAAGCCAGAGCCCGAAGGGCTCTCGTTACAAAGATTAACGCGAGTGCCACATAAATCGGAGTGATATGACATCAGAACATGAGCGACAAGACACACATATCAAGTACACTAGCAGATAGCTCAACACAGTGGAACAAAATTAATTAATGGGCGACAAAGCGCGAAAGTTTAGTCGTTGTTTGGGCTATATGTAAGTTACAGCTGTATGTAAAATCGTAAAGATCAAGGTTGTAACTAAGGTTGTGTTCAAGGGTGTTAATCATATTAGTTTAAAATAGATGTGCAATTTCAAAAATCGCACCGAATAACTTTGCATACAAGGCCATAATTTCCATATCGAATACGAGAAAGGAAACGACAACGTAACGACTAACGGATTGTAGCGAATAGTTGAGCCAATCGAGTTGCAAATCAATGCCTTAGTAAGGTGAATGAATCCGAAGACCCTTAGTATGACGAGAAGTGCCGAGAGATCATTAAAATTTGACAAGAGTTTCACAATTGGAAGCGCGTCGGGAACTCGTATTACTATGTTTGGAATGAGCAGTTCGAGAATCTAATCAACAATGGCGGGGTTTGGAAACTAGAGGTACTCAATCGAGATAGGAAGGCCTTGCTTTTCACAAATCACGATGCGAAGATGGCATGTCACTTAAGCTATAAGAAAACGTTCGCCATACAAACGTAGTCATACTATTGATTAGGATACTGTGACATGAAAAAAATAGTAGCTGAAGATACAGGTTTCTTTTCAAAAATTCCAAAAGATCAAGAATATTTCTTACTATTTATTAGTCTGTTTACGAGTAGGACCATCGCCAAAGAATTACATCAGTCTGTTGTGATGCATTTAGATACTTCTGAATTCCTCTTGTTGGATCATAGAGTAGCATTTAAAAATCAGATAACTGAAAAGTACCTCTCGAACAAGAGTATGAAGAGATTATATACGCTAACATGTAAACCTCAAATGTATCCCACAGAAAGAGTTAACCGTACTCTTAAAATCATAGTGGTAGGTATTTAAAACATACATGAAATTTGGAAACAATATGTACCAGAGTTCACTACTATCCTGGGATAATTCCATCAGCTTTATGTTAACGAGCGTACCAGCACCTTCAGACTGTGAATCAGCGCTTGACTTAAAAGTATACAGGACGTCCTATCTACGAAAATGAGGAGTGAAGAACGATGCTTTTTTTGGAGAAGATGCGTTGGAAGTATCTTAGCTTCCTGTTTCTCTTCGATAATGTATTCAGGATAATAAAAATCATACCAAATTTTATATTGACATATAATATATTTCAACGCACATTCAATTTATTTCAACTTTTCAATTATATTAATTGAAACATTATAGATTTTATTATTCGTGAACTATATACTATCACAAGGTATTCATTATTATAGCTATTTTTAATTTTGAAAAGTTCAATTTATAAATGCTTATTGATCTTATTGTTAGTTTTATATAAATGCTTTCACTTCGTTCGTATTGAAGTTTTAACATAAAACTTCAATGATGATTATCGTTGGATATTGTGATTTAGTTGAATCATTGGATAAGTAATGACTTTGTTAGTTAATATTTATTATAAGGGTTATTAAAATAATTAATTATTTATTAAAATACATCAAAACAATAATGGTCACATATTTATTTTGGTATATTTATATATTATATTAACCATTCTTGTACTAAATCCATCTAATGATTCATAACTAACATGCTACCAAAACAACCAAACACTAAAATTTTAAAGGTTTTAAACGTTAATACTCAAATTAATTTTTTATGCATAACTTGAGAAAATAATTGTTGCTTTTTAGAGTAAATATCTAATAATATGAGTACTATATCGGTCATCAAGTAAATAAATAATTGAACAAATAAATTTAGATATTAATTTTTTCAATCTTAATTTTACGGTATGATGTACAAGTTTATTTCTAGACTTATACGAACTTATAAATTTTATAATTATTTTATAAAGTTCAAAAAGAATATCATAGAAACTAAGTTCTCTAATTAAAAATTTCGTATTGATACGCAATTTCAAATTAGTTTAAAAACAACATGATCTTCTGTAGCTAGGTACTCCTACAGATTTTAATTATAATATGACCACCGATTCCAACAATTATAAGCAACCTAAACATAACATATCAAAATGAGAAATAGAAAGGGATTATCATGAGAGAAGTAGCCTTTTTAAATTAAATGGATTAGAAGGGGCAAAGTTGAAAAGACGGATATTTCATATTGTTCTCAAAAACATGGTCAAAATAACATAAATTTAGGTGATTTTAATGAATAAACGATACTAAAATAATAAACAAGAAGTGGAAGGGTTAAGAGGGGGTCATTTTTATAAGGAAGGGGAAGGGAATATTTTTGGAGCTCTTTTTGTGACTATATGTATAAATGTCTGTAGATGCATGTGTGTGTAAAAAAAATAAAAAATATATATTATGAGATTATTAGCGCACTTACCAGGAAATAGAAAAGGATTCCCTTTTGTTAACCACGGTATATATGGTATAATCGACGCATTTGATTCTTTTAAGGCACTAAAAGGTAATTCTGGTTGTTGATGCCATTTATAATCAATGCTAGATAATGGTGATATCAGACTTGTATATCCCGGAAGTTGTTGTTGGAGTATTGATGTCTCATTTATTGAATTTGATATTGATTGTTGAATTATTGTTGATGAAGGAACATGTGATCCCGATATGAATCGAGAACGTTTACGTTCTGAGTCTGAAATGCTTACATTATTCACGTTAGATAATATCCTTTTACGAGTTCCACCATTGAACATTGCTTTAACATCTTCCCAAGCATGAATAATTTCGTCAGGTGGATTTGCAGATAATTTCAAATGCCGTCGCCAAGAGTTAAAGTTTGCTGCATCTGGTTGAATATATTTATCATTTGATCCAGTTCGATGTGAATGAAATATAAATTTATTGGGAGAGAAAAAAAGCCCACAAACTGCACATTTAATACATTTAGCGCGTGAGCTGTTATATCGAGATGGTATAAATGCACCATGACAGCCCCATGCGCACTCATGATGAACTAGAAATGCGAAATCTTCTGGTAATCTGAAAATTATATTGGTTAATTAAAATAGACTATAACAATTTCAATTGATATAAACTAGGAATAAGAAAAGTTAGACATTAAATATTAATGAATAAAGGGTTATGAAGCTATGAATAGTAAATATAACAGATGACTTTAGTATTCACAACTTACATTTGTAAGCTTTTCTTATTAAAATCTAAATTATTTGTTACGATTTTTTATAACTGAAATATCAAGATTCAATAGAAGAGTCATTGTAAAACGTAATATGTATATCTATTATAATGAGTGAGATTGTTTCTCGTTGTGATGTTAATATCACTTATTATTTATTACCTATTATATACGTTAACGAGTAAGAATTCATTTTAATTTTGATAATATTTTTGAATATTGAGTTTGAAGTAAAAGTATAAATGAAATATCTATGATTGTTTGAATTGGGCTTAAGGAAAGATAGACCCCAGTTTCTTATGGTACGAAATGTCCCATAAGCAGAGATTGAGTCTCTCTTGAAAAAAGGATGTAATTCAGTCAGAGTTTTTTAAAGCGCGAAATGTTCTATGAGTCGAGCGTAAATTACAATAGGAAAGGAAAGAATTGCTCAGTTAATCACTTTAGAGAAAGAACTTAGGTATAAGCCAAGTTTATTCAATCTCGAGTACTCACTTTGCAAGGTTAGGAGAGAATCCTAGCCTGTGCAAAAATTAGCGTATTTATACACAGATTTTCTCGTCTATTTTCGCAGGACAGCCCTCTTCGAGCTGTTTAGGCAAATGTGCAAAATCATTTTCTCTTGTTTACAATAGAATAGACAGCACTACCGAAATCTCAAGCATGTAAAATTTACAGAATTAAATATGGATTATTTAAGTATAATTTACACTTATCGCAAAAAGTATAGTCAAAAGTTATTAACTAATGAAGATAGTTGATATGATAGTGCAATATTTACAACAAAATAATGACAAAATTTTACATATCGCAATAGTTTATCGCTTGTAGAAGTAATTCCAAAAAAGCACTACTTAAAGGATATCCTCTATTAAAATAGTGAAAAAGACAACCGAAATGAATCTTGAAACTAAGTTTTCAGTAGCAGTCTACATCGAAAAAGATTAGGTTTGCCGCCAACCGGACCTTCCTAGAGCCTGCTTAAATATATGTATATACAAGAAACGGTTTTTTTCATATTTTCTTTTTTTTCTTCGGATCTCAAAATGATATCGGCACCGGGTCTCCGGAATTCATATTTCTGGAAAATGAAGTTTCACTGTGATGTTTTCCAAGACTACAGACTTATGGGACCTAACCTAAAAAAAAAATTTTTAACTTTAAACTCCTCTAAAATTCAGCCATATTAAGGTGCAGATACAAAATTTTCAAAAAATATTCAAAATTATGTAAGAAATCTCCTTGAATTGGTTTGAAGTCGGTTCCAGTGGGGCGCCACCTTCAAAAATGCAAAAAACTCCGTTTTGTAGTGATTTTTGGCCTTTGGCGCTCTACCAACGGCAGCTTTGGTAAAACTAATGTCACCATCATATTCTACGGGAAAAAATACATAAAAAACATGTATTGTATGATCTCTCTACTATTTTCTACTCTGCGGCAAACAAAAGAATAACAATGGCGGCTACGCCAGGCATGACAAAATGGTCTCCCGCCTCTCATGACTCATATTTTTAAAGCTAATTATCAAAGACTTTATCGATCCTTACATATATTCTTTTGTAATTTTTCCCTCACAATACGATGGCGATATTTGTTTTACCGTTACTGAGTTTCGTGAACAGCTAACGGACGAAAACCGGGTATAAATCACGTTTTCAGTCGTTTATCAGCGGCTTTTCGCTAAAAGACATTGAAAACATGTCTAACTCCATTTGTAGATCTATTACGACCATCGAAAGAATCCAATGACGCAAAACCGCACTACTGTAGAACTACGAAAAAACCAATTTCATCTCGTCGTTTCTCTTATTGCTTCTGAAAAACACTCTTACCTCGTGCTACACGTATGTTTTTCATATATTCTTCCATATGCATCCATGCATATATTCTTTCTAGAATAGGATGCATCGTATCGTCAGTATTTACGTATCTATAATTAAAAATTAGGTAAAAGTGAAAAAAAACATACATTATACAAATGTTGATAGATACACTAGTGCCACTAAACGAAACAATATAGTCTTGAGTCTAATAGTTGTACCATGTGGACTAGAAATATGTATTGATGAATGCGGAAAATATTTTTTTACTATTTCTAAGTATAGCACTACATGATGTCTTTATAGGTTAACCTTGACCGTATAGGAAGTGAATTTCCATAATGATTCTGACACATTGAAAATGACACGAATTCTGACATGTAAAAAAAATATTTTTAGCTTTAATATACTTAAAATGTTAAAGTAGGCATTATTGTAATAATTAATTACACTGAATATGATATAAAAAACATTTAACACTTTTTTGTACACGCAGTCTTTTAATAACATGACATAAATCTTGTCATAACTCATGTCATTTATACTATCTGACGACTTCCATCTGTGAAAATAATTTTGAGTTTTTTATGTTACTGCAATTATGTTATAATGTTTTTAACATTCCTAGGGTTTTTTAGCCAATAATCAACCATCTCTACACTTGTCATATGTCGGAATCCATGTCTTCTTCAATGTGTCAGAATCGTTGTGCAGAGACCCTAAGCTCCCGGACTCTTCGAGAGCCGCAGTGGTGTCAATAAAGTAAGTACAGTTATAGACAGACAGACAGACATAATTTAACCTTACATATAATCATCTCTGATTACTCTATATAGTTTTCTGCGACAGTAAATTCTAAAATCTCTTGATTACAACTCAGAGCTAGGCGGCTTAAGATACTCGTTTTGATCAGTACTTCTAATAAATTCTCAACTTGTTTATACCCTGCAATCAGTACTAAAGTAATTAATAGTGAACAATAGGGAACTTGCATGTTTTTGAGTTTTAATTTTAAGAGTATACATTGTTCGAGAAATAATTTGAATAAATAAGAAAAATTATGTTTGCATCACATTATTGAGTGAAAAACCATTCTTGAAAATATGTTTCATAAGTTACAAATATTATTTTTGTGCTTTATCATATATCACTTTATATGATAAAATAATAATAATCTCTGTCAAAGTAGATTAGCTATGAGTCCCAAATCACTATGAGCAAAGATTTTTTAAAGATACATAAACTATTTGGCAGTTACATTTTCCATTGAAACTGAAGTGGATTAATTGAATTATAAATGAAAAGGTTTTTGACAGATTTCAAAATTAAGTTTTACTGAAATATTTCAGATCAACATCTCGTTTTGTTCTTTGTAAAGAAGCTTGAAAACATTGAGACTAATTGAAAAATAAATAGCTTGTAGAAATGTATTTAAAAATTAAATATTATTTTTTGGGCTCTTGATTCCCATCTTTCTCATTTTTTGAAAAAATGCTTCACCGCTTTTGCATTCTCTAAAATGAAAAATATTATCTTGTTCTTGCTATCAGCTTATTCAGATTTAAACAAAGATTTCTGTTATTTATAAAAATTGGCTTTCCCACTCATAAATAATATAACAATATGAAAATAAGAATCATTCAATTTCCTAACTCACTTAATAAAAACGAATTGTTTTCTTCATTTTTGTGTAAACCTTCATTTCATGTTTATAATATACTAACAATAAACACAAAACTTATTTTAATACCCAAAAATCAATTGATATATAATTATTACATTGTGTAGATTTAAAAAATAGATTTAAACATTGATTTGTTTTAAATACAGAACTTGGCTTTTCCACTGATAATTTTAAAATTAAAAACAATCCGGTTGGTTTAAAAAATTAATTGAATTAATTATTGAAACAAAGAAAATTATCACTTTTTTATGCTTAATTTTTTTCAATAACAATCTGTTTTAGAACAAAGAACAATTACAAAGACTATATATGAAAATGCCTTATATAGGTATATGTCTAAACCGGTGTGTTATGCAATATGACGAGTGATATACAATATTTCGTAACGATCATTCTTGTTGGACGACAAATCTCATGTTTAACATCGATGATGTAGTGTTTTCGTTTAGGTGGTTTTAATGTCGATAACAGTTAAGACTTATCATTGACGACTGGTACACGAACACTCTTACTTAAGTGTGATGTGCTTATGACACGAAAACGTAATGTTTTTGTTAAATCGAACTCATTAATGGCCTCATCTCAAATGTACAGTAATAAAATAGTTCCTTGTCAATTGCAATAAATGTTAGTTTGTGGTCGACCGTACATATTGTATCCATATGTGCAGTCAGTTTGCTTTTTTCTCATTCATTCAAGTTCCCTATTATTTTTAAGAACAATTAGTACATATCTTCTGTTTGTAATCAATACATTCACAGTCTTTATAATTATGTCTTATATCAGTGGATTTATTATCATTTGATTAAATTAATATCACTTATTTCTCAAACAGGATAGACTATTACAATGGACGACACAGAAGAGCCGTCGATGAAAAAACAATGCTTAAAAACAAATAATGCTAAATGCGCTAAATGTGATAAGTTATTTCGCAAAATGAATGGAGCGGCTTTGTATATTACCAGTCGAAAAGAAGCTGAATATTTTAATAAAAAATATAGTTTCTTCGTTCAGAAAGATGAAGTTATTTGTTCAAAGTGTCGTTGTGTTCTTAGAAATCACAGAAGAAAGCAAGGAAAAACTGTTGCAGTATTTGTTCAAGAACAGATACTAGATCCAGTCACTAATAAATGTGGATATAAGTGATGCGATTTCAAATCCTAGTGAAATGCAAGAGTACATTGGTAACCTCACTTTATCAAATGATAGCTCACCAGAAGTAGCAGCGAGTTCTAATCGAGGTTATTTGAATGATGATTTGAAACTGATAGCCAAAGTTCTATTCAGAAATCGAGGGAAAGCTCTAGCCAAAGCTCTAATGATACACCAGTTTTTG